AGGTCTAGCATAAGTTCTCATAGAATAACTATGTACATAACTTTATTTTTCAGAGCTTTCATTAGAGTCGTAAGAGTTTTATGAAAAGTAATTTCAAAATTTATTCTGAGTTAAGTACTATTGCTTGTTTTTTATTATTTCATTTTTGATACACTACATTGGTGTCAGCCTGTGGAAAGTAGCAGAGTCTCACCATGCCACATATATAATAGAGCATAATTTTTCTATAATCAGGCACCTTTTGCTGCTTTTAGTAAGACTGGTTTTTATGTGTGTGTGTTTAGATTTTTCAGCATTGCCAGAGAGAAGGATCTCTCCCGTTTTTGGTTTGTAGCATAGCCTGATAGTTGTAGATGCCACATTTTCTGTGATGAAAAACGACAGTCTACCAGGGAGGTCTGGAGGACTAGACATGTTTCCCCGGATTCCACCTAAGTTTGTGCTCTGCTGCCCCCGAGGAGCTTTCTCGCATGTGATTATTTACTTCAAAACTAGGGTTTTGAACACCTATATTGTGTGCAAAACAGTATGTGTCTTTTCATGTCCTATATGATACACTGCACAGATTGCTTTTGCACTCTTAAAAGTTTTGTACTAAATACTAGAAAATATTTATATTCTTTGAGTGTGAGCTTTGACTAGATGGCATTATCACCTTACTGTTTTTAGTTTTAACAAAACCCTTTCCTCAGTTATTCTTTTGCAATGTCATTCTCAGCAAGTGCTATGCCAAATATCTTGTATAATGTTTGTATGGAAGATTTAACTTTACTCCTGTGTGATAAGACTATTCAGTTACTGCCTGCGCAGTTGGGATTTGATATTCCAGCACAAAGTCCGCAATATATGCAGAAATCCAAGTTGGTGTCATACATTTCATTTTGATGTGAACTTTTCTTTGCTTTTCTTTGTTCTAAGACTCCATTTTGCAATAAACGTTTTGACAGTAAATCCCTTTGTTATGTGTTGCTGTGTATATACAATCTTTGTTAGATTGGATTCCCCAACGTCCTTTGAAGGGATCATTGTCACACACGTGCACATTGAGTGTTAGCTTTTCTCTCCAGAAGTCAGTCGGAGTGTAAATAATGAATTTGTAAAATGATAGGGCAGTCATGAGATGGATTTTTTTTTTTTTTTTTAATATCCCCAAAGACAGAAAGGCTTAGAACTTACCCTTCAGCAGATACACTGATATGTTAACAGGGTGCAGAAAACATAAAGGACATGGCAACCACTGTGTGCCTTGAGATCATTAGCTCCTGTCCCCCATTCTTGCCAAATTCAAACCGTCTGGAAGCAATGCCGGGCTCCAGCCTTCCTCTCACTGATCTTTGCAAGCATTGTGCAAAGAATCTGGCCAGAACAAGTATCACACTGACTCCAGGGCTTTCCCCCTGGCATCATATTGATGAGCCATCCACAGAGCCCCTGAGATCCCTTCTCGCTCCTTTCCTGTTGATGTTAGAATGAAAGATGCTGGTCTTGATTAGTCATTTCACTTACAACCATTATTCTATTCAAGAAATACTTATTTTTCAATTTTGTTTAGCACAATATTTAGGAACTATATAAAAATCAAAACACAACACATCCCCCCACTTCCTATAAAAGCCAGCCTTGATGCAAGGAAATATTTCTGCAACTCAGTCTGTTGTTTTTTTGAGCTAATCAAAAAAATTCCTTATTGCACATTTGTTTCTGTGATAGGAGAAGGGAATGACATATCTCTGCGGCTGTACCCAGCTGCCCTGGGAAGAAATAAAATTTGTCATGCATTTTCTTTGCTCAGGTTCAGCTTTAGATTCTATTCCTCAAGCCATTTTCCTTTCCTCGTTATTAAAGCAGGTGAGTGTATTTGGCGATTCCTACGTACATGTGATTCCAAGGAGGGAGGAGGCAACCCATGGTGGGAAGTGGCGGGGTAGCCTAGAGTATATATAGAGACTAGTAGAGCTCTGAGTGTACACTTCATGCCCTTGCAACTTGGCTGCAATATTCAAACTGTGCACATAATTATCTTAACTTGAAGATTTTTTGTTTTAAATTCTTTTCCCTGGCCCTCCAGACTCTGCCTCGTCTCTTTCTCCAACATGCACAGCCCTGCGTCCTGTGCTCCAGTTAGGTGAACGTGCCGTGCCCATCCTGCCCTTCCCCCCATCCCTGACAGAGCCACTTTTTTTGCCTTGTTGCTTCTCTTCATACGGAATCACTGCACTTCCTACCTTGCAGCTCAAGAGCCAACTATGCCTTCCATCCCCCCCCTTCTTATTCTATGAAACCGTCTCTCAATACGTCACTCTTTTCTCTGGTATACCCACAGACCATAAACTCTAGACCTGATTATTGGGCATTTTGATTAATGTTTCATTCATTTCATTCATTCAATGAAAATATACCAGATGTATGCCAGGCACTCAGCTTGGCACTGAGGAATCCATGATCTTCAAAGCCTTGGACTCTCCATGTATAATTCATATCTGTTTCACCCTAATTCATTTGAAAGCTCCCTGAAGGCAGGGGCTGTGTGGGATTTTGAGCATGTGAGTATAGAATAAACACCTGCAGATTAGAGGGATAAACTCACACATCCTCTGATTTTTATACTAGTAGTAAAAATAACCAAAAGCAACTTCTTTTTATAACTCCCTCACAAAAAGTATTATTTGTAACAGAGGTTAAGTGACACCATGTTACCTCATGAACAATGCAAGCATTTTGGCCACTGAGTTAAAGATAATGGGTATAATTTACACCGAAAACACAATAAAATATTATTACATAAATGAATAAAGATAATGGCTATACCAAACTCCAGTTAAACTCCTAAGGCACAGATTTTTTTCAAATGATGTAAGCAGTTATTATTTAGTCCATGGCCATGGGCCATATATTGAAGTGAGTAGCTCTTTGGCTCTGAAAATAAGGCAGGCTGATGTCCCCTGCAAACGTGTTTGTTCACGTTTGTGCTCTTGACTGTTGTTGTTGTTATGTGCCGTCGAGTCGGCCCCGACTCATAGCGACCCCTCCTTGGGTTTCCGAGGCAGTATCACTACGAAAGTAGATTGCCCCATCTTCCTTCTGAAGAGTGGCTGGTGGGTTTGAACTGCCAGCCTTCTGGTTAGCAGTCAAGTGCCTTAGGCACTATGCTACCAGCCTGTTGTTGTTGTTATGTGCCGTCGAGTCGGCCCCGACTCATAGCGACCCCTCCTTGGGTTTCCGAGGCAGTATCACTATGGAAGTAGGATTGCCCAACCTTCCTTCCGAGGAGTGGCTTGTGGGTTTGAACCGCCAGCCTTCTGGTTAGCAGTCAAGTGCTTTAGCCACTATTTAGTCTGTTTTATTTACAGTAACTCTGCAAGCTGAGTTCCTTAGAGCAGCTCCAATTTCACATGTCCTCCTTCCTTGGGTCCTAACATTTGGTTTTGAAAATAGAAAAGCAAGTAAGATATTTAGCTAAATTGTTAGAAACTTCCCCTGTGGGGACAAGCCTAATAAGTCATCTAGTTTCCAAGTGGTTGCTTGGGAATTTTCAGTAATAATCAACCAATCCTTATGTTGGCTGAGAATTCCAAGGAAGGCCCTGGTATCTGATGAATGTCAAATGTTTTGGCTGCCAAGGCCCTGTTGTGGGATGTAAAGCCACTCTTGGTGATTTTTGAGATCTTTTTTGCTTCAAAGTTTGAGCATATGTCTCTCCAAATAATCAATGTAGATCAAGTATGGATCAATTTCCAAGATCAGTTAGGATAACTAAAAACTATGATTTGCATTAAAAATTAGTACGCTCATACAATGAAAAGTGAATTTAGTTTGCATAGCACCTTTGGGTTCTTAAAACACTTCATTTTTTGTGGTAATAGATCCCTAAGAATGGATTTATTAAGGACATTTAGTTCCTCTCTCCGATTGATTGTATTCTGGGAACTATGACCATGTCTAACTCTAAGAGAGAAATGGATAAAGAAATATGATGAAAATAATTTCCCAAAACTGAAAAAAAAATATTCTGCCTCCTTCCTCAAATCTGAAGTCCAGCTGAAAGGCAACATGCGATATTGAGAAGAGGATAGAATTTGAAGCCAGGCCAACCTGGGTTTAGCTCCAACTCTCCTATGTTCTAGGCATTGATTAGGCAAGTTACAAAATACCCCTTATTATCTACTTCCTCATCTATAAAATGGGTGTAATGATAGGAGCCTACAGAGTTATGGTTGCAAATTGATGAGGAAATGAATCTATGTAAGTTTATATCACAGTGCCTGGCACCTACAATAGGGGTTCACAAAATAATAGTTGTTACCAGCTCTTTATGAAGGCATTATGACACTGGGAAATGAAGAATGCAAATCATCATAAAGATTTCTGGGTGTGTCTGTAAAAATGCATTCTTCATACTACCACTCAACTGTAGGAACTGAGTACTGTCCAAGGAATGCAAGGCCACCTTCTGGGTTGTATCGCTCCTAATTACAGTGGAGGGCTGCTTTAAAATTAGTAGAGCATCTTTCTCCCATCATTTGAGATGCTAGAGTCCATTTCCTTTAAGTGGTTTATTTGTATAAGCCATGTGTCATGGTCCTTTGTTGGATCCGGTCCCCTGGGGAAAGTTAGAGAAAGGTTCAGATTGGTCATAGGTTACAGCATCAATTGACTGGCTCTCACACTGGTGGCTTATGCAATAATTATTCATTGAGTGCCTACTCTGTGCCGTGTAGTAAGAGAAGAAAACACCAAGATATGCAAAGTCCTTGCTGAAACTGTTCACCCCATATGACGAATTGTTACTGAGGGGTGATGTATGTTACTCACTTCTATGGTCACAACCCTTCTGTGCGCTAAGGAATTCTTAAGGTCAAGAAAATTATTCTCAATTCAACCTAACCTGCAGGACGAACCAAGCCAGAGCAGCAGCCAAGAGCTAAAAGAGTGAGGCAAAGGGATAAACTAAAAAAACAATGATAATATTTTCTTTCATTTCATTCATATTTCCCACGCAGCTGCTGCCTTCCTTTGAGATTAGTGCATGGACTGAAGACGACGTGGTAAGCTGCTTTAATTAATGCCACATTTGACCTGGGCAGGTATTTCACAAACTTGCCCACAAGTTTAAGACTTCTGCTAGCAGGGCTTGGACCTTAGGAAGATCTAACTAGGAGAGTCTGACAAATTAGAAATTTCTCTACTGTTAATGCAAAAACAATTTAAATGAACCCTCAAGAGCAAAGCAAGTATCTCTTCAAATCTAAGAAGAGGGTTCCACCTCCCTATTTCCTCTGATAGGTATCCAGATAATGAATGCCAATGACAGAATTAAGAGAATGATCCAGGATAACAAGTAGACATACTTCAAAAGAAAAAGCCTATGTTAAATTTTCCTAAAATGCCAGGGATGGAATTGAAAACTGTGGAGGAAGATTTGGTAAAGGCAATGCCAGGCTGGGATGTCTTTGAGCTGGAGACTGCCTTCCTGTGTTAGGCCCATTTGGCAAATGACAGGTTAAGGTGGTCATCTTTACTCTCAGCTGCCCAGGGAATGAACACAAGCTCTCCCAGGCGTCATCTGCATTTGTCGTCAGAAAACCAGTTGCCATTGACTCCCAACTCATGGCAACCCCCTCTGTGTGAGAGTGGAACTGTGCTCCATAGTTTTCAGTGCCTGGTTTTTTCAAAGTACATTGTCAGGCCTTCTTCCAAGGTGATTCTGGGTAGATTTGAACAGTTAACCTTTTGGTTCACAGTGGAGCATGTTAACCATTTGCACCACCCAGAGAAGTCCCAACATTTTTAAGAGGATACGGGTAGGCTATTTAAGTCCAAAGGAAGCCTTATACCCTACATTTCTCCTTCACCTTTTGCATGTCCCTATCTGTTTCTTTTGTGTCAAAATAGGTATGAGAATACCTGACTAAAGACCTCAGGGACTTATGTCTGTGCAAGTCCTTCTTACAAGTGCAAGGTATCATTAAATGAACAAGAAAAAAAAATGTAATGCCAGACTGTGCATTGCAATATGGGCCCCACACCAGGGGACAGAGCCAGGTGCCCCAAAGGTATAAAGCTCACTGCTAGACTCTTTGGAAGCTCTATTTACCTAACTCAGCCTGGTTTCTAGGTCAGGGGATTTCTCTCCCTGCCCTTTGTATTCTTACATAGTAAAACTACTTTCAGCATTAGCTTCTATAGAGTAAGGAAACTTGGTACCAGTTGCCTCTACTTCTGTCTTTCATTGAGCCCCAGTGGTTGTAAATTTCCTGCCAGCCCTGCTTAACAAGGAGACAGGATGTGGGGTCTCCTTTATTCATAGGCCTGGATATAATCCCTTTATCCCCTGCAAAGTTGGCCCATCTCATTTTCAAATAATTTTTGTTTTTTGTTTTTTTTTTTTGTAAAGAAGCACTAAGCTCCAGTAACTATTTTTAGTCTTTGCCCTGAGGATAAGTTGTTTCTAGGCCATTGAAATAAATTTCCAGGATTGAAGTCTCCCCAGAGAAGTTGAGGGGCAAGGTCTGGTCTCCCTTTTATCTCCTTTGCCCCATAATGTGAGAAAATATCAGTAAACACAGGCTTAATAAAATTCAAGGACGAGGTGTCACTGGGGATAAGTGAACAAGTCTGTGTTTGGCCATCAGGACTGAGAGAATTTCAGAAAGCATGATTCTAACCTCATTCTGCACAGAAAGCTGCACGGTCTACTTGTCCTGGACCACATGGTCACACTACTAACTAGAAGGTTGGGGTTTCAGACCTACCCAGAGGTGCCTTGGAAGAAAGGACTGGCAATCCGCTTCTGAAAAGTCACAGCCTTGAATACTCTATAGAGTGTAGATCTGTAACACATGGGGCACTGTTAGTTGGAATTGACTAGAAGGCAACTTGTTTGGTTTTTCTGGGAGGGCCACATGGCTGCCTTATGACCAGATGGAGGACTTCATTGTATCCACTCCTCTGTCCACTGCAGTGTGGTCCCTGTTACTCATTTGATTCCTGGGTAAACAAGTACCCCTCAACAATCCAGGCAATCACTGTCACATAAATGGAGAAATGATTATTAAAAAAGAACCTTTAGAAAGGACTTTTATACCTCTGCAAAATAAGGAAGAAAACTGTAGCTTTCCTTCAGGTGTCCAAGATCCCCAAAAGAAGGGACATCTCCAATTTGAAAGCTTGAAGTGTTGAAAGTACAAACAGAAAATCTTCCATTTTACCTTTGAGCTTGAGCCAGGAATTAAAAGTCTTTAAATCTTTTGAAAACTTCATGTTTTACTGTTAAGTCTGGCCTCTGATCATGTGTAAGTCTTCAAACCATTGTATGTGCTCTCTTTCACAGTACTTTTGGCTTCAGCAGCTCGTCACAAAAGGCAAGTGGAATAACTTACCTTCTGAATTCATAGAGTTAGCTTTCCTTTGGACATGATTGGATCTAATTTTATCCTACCTTCTCATAATTTCCTTCAGGTGATTCTTCAGAGGAGATGATTGTATATGCAAGCTTGTTTAAGGAAAACAACATTACAGGGAAGCGGCTGCTGCTTTTGGAGGAAGAAGACTTGAAAGACATGGGCATTGTCTCCAAGGGGCATATCATTCATTTAAAGGTACCTCAGAGGGGAGGACACTCAAGCTATGCATCTGTATTGAGCACCTCCTGGGTGGCAGATCAGGTTTAGATGCTGGGAATAGAACCAGTGCTGTGCTAGTTGTTACAGTGCTGAAATACTTCCGCATGGTACAGTTGATAATTTGCTGCTGACCCCATGGGACTCCTCCTCCTTCCTCATAAGCCAACAACCAAAGGATTAATACCTAGCAAACCAGAATCACCTGGATACACTGACTGCCACCCCTGTGCCCTCATGAAATTTAGTGGGGAAGACAGACAGGAATCATGCAATCATGAAAAAATGGCACCTGTGAGAAATGCCACCAAAGGGAGAGGGCATTAGGATGAGGAAAGGCTTCTGTGAAGAAGATATGAAGGAACTGAGAGCTGAAGGACAAGTAGGTGTTAGCCAGGTGAGGGGGCAGGATGTTCCAGGACGAGTAGACTGCCTGTGGAAAGGCCTTGTTCAGGGAGAAAGACTGGCAACCTAGGAAGAAGAGGAGGCCACTCCATTTAATGCTGGAGCAGTCAGGTATCCGTTAGAAATCACTAAGGGCCCCCGAAAGTTGCCTAAGCCCTGAGTGAAACCTAAGGTTCTTCGGTAACTAAAAATCACGGGAATTTCACTAAATTGCAATCTTGAACTGGAACAGACATGACCGTACATGTAAGCTACTTCCTCATTTATTCAGAAAATTCTAACATTTCCTCCAAAACTGCGGTCTTGAAAAGCTTTAAAGCTGAACCTCTGATTTTGTTTTGTTGTTGCTTTTTTTTTTTTTGCAGTTTAGCAAACAGATCTGTTTGTTTGTTTGTTTAGATGTTTTGTTTTGTAGTTACTCAAACCAAATAAGAATTGCTGGCATCTGTGTGGACATTGTTATTAATCAGAGTTTTTTCTTAAGTGAGATCTTATGATAAAAATCAAGTTTGATCCCCAAACTATGCCTCACCCTCAGTTTGCATAGACGGAGGGGTGTGCGCACACTGTCAGATTACCTAATAAGCAAGGTAAACATGGGCTTACTTGTGTTTACTTAATAATCTGTTGTTGTTGTTATGTGCCATCGAGTTGTATCCGACTCATAGCAACCCCTCCTTGGGTTTCTGAGGCAGTATCACTATGGAAGTAGATTGCCCAACCTTCCTTCCAAGGAGTGGCTGGTGGGATTGAACCACCAGCCTTCTGGTTAGCAGTCAAGGGCCTTAGGCACTGTGCTACCAGAGCTCCTTACTAATCCGTAGTGAACAGTTTTACGTGTTTTTCACCACATTGAAGATGTGAAATTATTCACTATAGATTATTAAGTAAGCACAAGTAAGCCTGTGCTTACCTAGTTTATTGAGTAATCTGTCATTGTGTCCAAAGGTTAGAAAGAAGAGACAAAGAACAAATGAAATGTAGAAAAAGCACTTCCTATCAAAATCTACATCTTTACAAAACCATAACCATATACCAGCCTTTACCCTTTAGCTCAGTTGTAGCTACCTAAACAGGGTTTTCCAGAGAAATCCTCACTGAGGCCCAAAGAGAACCCATTCACTTCTATTCTGTGGGCCCTGGATCCTCATAGAACCATCCACAAAGAATCCTTTGGGTGATGGCTTTGCCTTAACCCACTAGAGATCATCTCCAAGAGAGTAATGCACTGTCTTTTCCCTCCTGTGCAATGGCCAGGAAAACTCATGCATCTACAGTATCACAGCACACAAAATCATTGTTCCACATCCTGCTTTGGTGAGTAGTGACTGAGGTCCTAAAAGCTTGCAAGCAGCCATCCAGATGCAACAATTGGTCTCTCTTCATCTGGAGCAAAAAAGAATGAAGAAAACCAAAGACAGATGGAAACAGTTAGTCCCAGGGACTAGTGACCAAGTGAACCTCAACCTATGTGACCCTGAGACCAGAACCAGATGGTGCCAGGCTGCCACTGTCAGTCACTCAGAAAGGGGTCAGTGTAGTAAATCCTGGACAGAGTGGGAGAAAAATATGGAACAAAACTCAAAATCATAAAAACAAAACAAAACAAAAGACCAAGCTTACTGGTCTGGGAGACACTGGTGAAACTCCTGAGACAATGGCCCCTAATCACCCTTCAGGCCTAGAATGTTACTTACTTCCATGGCTTCCAGCGAAACAATAGACAGGCATATAAGGTGAACGTTTACACCAGGTAGGCACACTCCTTACAACAATCAACCATGGGAAATTAGATCAGGACAGTATCTGCAGAGAGATATCTCAGAAGGCAAGATTATGCATAGGAAACAAGGACGCAGGGAAAATGTAACCACAGGGAGGAAGTGGGAAGAGAGCTGTTACATATGGGAACTGTGATCCGTGTCATGAAACAAAATGTGTATGAACTGTTATTGCTCTATAAACTTTCACCCAAATCACAACAATAATAATAATAGTAACTCATGCATAAACATATAAACATATATCTCAAAAGATGTCAGAGAATTTAATTTCTATCTCTATATGTGGGAAATTCCACCCTGGAAAACTATTCTTGCTTAGATGGACTGCAGTATGAAAAGTTATTGCTGTAGTACAGAGAAATTTGAGATGAAAAAAAAAGATATTTTGCAAATCTTGTCTTCTTTGGCAAAGGTAAGATGCTCCTCACCTTCCTTTCCTGTCTGCTGTCTTTGAAAAAAAAGCTAATGTCCCTTAAGGAAGAGAAGTGGTGAGCTGTCATGCTTACTTCCTCAAAAGCCACAGATGATGTCAATATCTCCAGACATGGCCATCTTCAATGAGACAAATTGACACAACAGCTATAACAATGAGCTCGAACATACCAACCATCGTGAGGATGACTCAGGACCAGGCAACATTTTATTCCGGTATACATAAAAAAACAAACCAAACCCCCTGCCATCGAGTTGATTCTGACTCATAGAAACCCCCACTGGGTTTCCAAGGCAGTAAATCTTTACAGAAGTAGATTGCCCAGTCTTCCTTCCACAGAGAGGCTGGTGGGTTTGAACCATCGACCTTCTGATTAGCAGTCAAATGCCTTAGGCACTACACCACCAGAGCTCCTTTCTGTTACACATAGAGTCATCGTAAATAGGAGCCAACTCAATGGCAACTAATAACAACAACAGGTTTGGCCAATGAAAGCAAATCCCAGGACACTCAAAATGCCCCCTCCATGGTAGTTGCTATCATTAGGACAAGCAATGTCCAAACTACTCACTGTTCAACAAATTCCACTGATGCCTATCAATTGCAAGACTGAACCTGTGAAGCTATAAAGAAGAATCCTGCCCTTAAGGAATTTACATCCTAGAGAAGAGAGAAAACATGTCCATACAACTTCTTATATAATGGAATGTCTCGGCAGTTCAGAGGAAAGGAGCCTGGGAGAGGCGGTTGTAGGGGGAGATGGAGAGGGACAACTTCATGGAGTGGATGGCCCTTGAGCGGGTCTTGGAGGAGTGACCCAATTTGGAATGCTGACAGGACAGGGAAAGGAAAGAATATTGATCTAGGCAGAGAGAATAAGGAATTAAGAAACAGAAGAGAACCTGGAAGGCAGAAGAGATTGGCTCCAATGCATTGAATAGTAGGCAGGGCTGCCTAATGGAAACATAGTATGGAATGGAAATCATGATGTATAAAAGGGGAAGGAAGGTGGGGCCAAATCACTCACAGCTACTTCAAGTGGGGGGATCTGGAATTTGATCAGCTGTGGGGAATATTGGAAGTGTTGAGTGGTGTCATGTTACATACTTTGCTTCTGGAAGTTATAAAGTAGATTTGGAAAGGTGAGACTGGATTTGAAATGACCAGTTAGGAGATTGTTATATAGGGAGTGTATTAGTTTCCTAGAGCTGCCAAAGCAAGCATCACAAACTTGGTGGCTTAAAACAAAAGAAATGTATTTGCTCACAGATCTAGAGACTAGAAGTCTACAGGTAAGGTATCAGCAGGGCCATGCTCCCGCTAAAGACTAGACAGGAATCTTTCTTGCCTCTTTGCTTCTGGTGCTTGCCTCCATCCTTGGTGGTCCTTGGCTTGTAGACACGTCACTCCAATCTCTGCCTCTATCACCACATGGCCTTCTTTTCTCTGTGTGTCTCTGTGTTCAGTCATTGGATTTAGTGTGTGTGTTAGGTACTGTCGAGTTGGCTCCGACTCACAGCAACATTTTTTACAACAGAACAAAATCCAATATGCCATCTTAATTTGGTTAATCTGCAAAGACCCTATTTCTAAATAAGATCATACCCAAGGCTCCAGGTGGAGATGGATTTTGGAGCCGGTGGGCATTATTTACCCAGTGCAGAGCATAGTAAGGCCCAGTTGATATGGTGATAATGAAACTGGAAAGAAGGAGAGGGTGTCATTAGTTAAGAGAGCTCCTTATAGCATCAAGAAGGAAAGCATGTTTATACATACCCCTGACCATGAACAGAACAACTCTGTGCCTTCAGAAAAGAAGTATGTGGCAAGGGGCTGTCAGAGCAATCCAGGCAGGAGAAAGAATACCTGTCCAGGAAGTAGGCGAATGAGGGGAAAATGATGTTGCATAGGCCAAAAGTGAAAAAAGTCTAAGATAAAAAGAATGTTCAAAAGGCTCGAAGGCAGCAGAGAAGCTGAGAAGCACATGCCCAGAGCAAAAGCCCTGTTGAAGCAGCAAGGGGTGTGTGTGTGGGGGGGGGAGGTGAGTTCAGGACCTCCTCTCTTGACCAGGCCTAGGGTGTCCTCCTTGATTTCCAAAAGAGGGGTGTGGCCAGGTCTGTGAGCCACAAGCCCACCCTTGAGCCCCAGGGTGAGTCTGCATGTCTGCATAAAGATCAGGTCACAGAAGGGAATGTCTCAAAACTCAGGAATGCAGACCCTCCACCTGACTGCCAATGCTCAGGCCCTCAGGCCGTGTTAGAGTGCCTACTAGTGGGAGCTTGGCCAACAGGAGGCAACACTCCAATACACTCAGCTCCAGCATGAGTATTTCTGCACATGAGCTTCTGTGAGAAGGAAAGCATCATGGAAACTTGTCCTGGGAAGGCCTTGCATGTACCCTTGGGACACTTAGGATAAATAACATCTCAAGCTGGGCCTTGGAAGCAGCGGCTGAGAACCTTCAGACTGTAGAAGCCCTCCTGGTGCTCTTCAGAATTATTTCACACACACAACCAGACCGTGAGAAGTCTTTTATTCTCTGCTCTTTCCCAAAGGACAGCATAATGACTGTGTGCACCTCAGAGAGTCAGCCCTTAAGGGGTGGATCATAAAACTGGAAATGGAAGCAGCATTTCCACTACCCCTTTGGCTACTCAGTTTGCTTTCAAGCCTCACTTAGCTGGTTCCCCTGTCCCTGGAAGCCCTCATGTGGAGAAGCCAGGTATAAGGAATAGGACAGAATGTCCAGTATATGTTCATTACGTTGTCAAATGTCAACAGCTTTCATTTTGTTTTTTTAAAAAAAGCATCTATTTTTTCTCACATTGATACTTTTTACCCCCTACATGATATGTTCAGTTCACAAAAAAAGCTGAATTTTATACCTAATGAGTATCTGGGGGGGAAAAAAAACATAATTTTAATTGTCCTCCTTTCTTTTACGATTTCTTTGTGCTTCACTAGGGAAGGGAATGTTGGATACATACCCATAGAAAAACCCTTACAATGCAGTAGACCCTTTAGTGAGATTGTAGCCTTAATGAAAGTGATGTTCATGTTCTTTGTTGTTTTTTCCCACAGTTACTCAGGGTGACAACTACATTCCGTTCACCAGAACATTAACTTGTCATTGCTGTACTCTGCTGGTGTTTGAAGAATGGTTTTATTTATTGCTTAGTCTGAGGTTTAACACCTTTAAAATATCTTCCTGTTCCATTAAATGATTACATACTATCCATACTACTTTGAACAATCAGGTTTATTCTCAATAGATGTTGGATATTAACAACCCCAAGACATTTTATGAACTACATAAATAAAGAAAGCCTTTGTAAGTACACAACAATTTTAAACCTCTCTTGGTCTTATCAGATCATTAACAAACACTGATTTTATTTTTTACAGTCAGCCATTGAGAAATTAACCCACGATTACCTAAACTTGTTTCACTTTCCACCACTAATTAAGGTAAGTAAGGCTTTTTTCTTACTCAAAGTGTTCTACTTTTATTCACCAACGCACCTGCCACATCCACACCTCAGTTTGCCAGTGTCGGAAACTGTTGTTTGAAGTAAAATGTAATCACCTGCACCCAACAAAAGGCCCTTTGAGTGAAGCTTAAGATGTGCATAAATTGGACACTCTTGCTCCCCGCAAGTTGAAATATTAACAACACATTCGTGATAAGAACGATACATCTCACCTCAGTGGCTTAGGGATGGAAGTGCTAACGTTGCAGGTGAGGCCCTCTGGCCTCCCACCTGGCTCCAGGAGATGTTTGTCCAACATGTAAGTCCCTGAAAGAACACACACCAGGGCTCTGGAGTATCACCTGCAGGAGGAGGGAAGGGTTATTGTTTGAATAAGACATTATTATGTTTCACATGTTGTTTTTTAACATAGTCTAAAGGTATATGGCATACTCTGCTATAAAATCAGTAGATCCTTGCAATTAATACATTCATTCACTAACAGCTATGATTTTCCATCTCCAAGCCATAAAGATTCATTATGCTCCTCTGTTTAATCCTGCATCCACATACCAAAAAAACCAAACTCACTGCCATCGAATCGAACCCAGTTCGTAATTATCCCTCCTTGGGTTCCCGAGGCAGTATCACTACAGAAGTAGATTGCCCAACCTTCCTTCCGAGGAGTGGCTGGTGGGTTTGAACAGCCAGCTGTCTGGTTAGCAGTCAAATGCCTTAGGCACTATGCTACCAGAGCTCCTGTATGCTCTCCGAAAACCAAAACCACTGCCATTAAGTCAATTCCTAGCAACCCCCTTTGGCTTTCCAAAGTGGTAAATCTTTACAGAAGTAGATTGCCCAGTTTTCCTTCCCCAGAGTACCTGGTGGGTTTGAACTGCCAAGCTTCTGGCTAGCAGTCAAATGCCTCAGGTACTACACCACCAGAGCTCCTTACATATGCCCTTGCTTGTAAATATCTTTGAGTGTTGTGAAATTCCAATGATGAAGTCTTAAATGCATCTCTAAGTACTAAGTGCATTTCTAGGGTAAAATTACCCAGTGCAAGATGCACTGTGAAAAATATAATACCATGAAATTCAATTTGTAGTGCATGAAATAAATCATTTGGCAAAGTTCTCAAAAGCTTAATATATCATTTCTCTTGCTTTATGTAATTGTAATTTATAGCTTAATCCAAAATAAAATTTAATAGATTAGGATGGAAAAAATTAATGCTAAGAGAATCAACCCCTTTACCTGAGAAGTAAAAATAAAAAACACCATCTAGAATAAGTGGTGCTTGGTTTTCTGTTTTAGGACTCAGGAGGTGAGCCTGAAGAAAATGAGGAAAAAATAGTGAACCTTGAACTTGTGTTTGGTTTTCACTTGAAACCTGGAACTGGCCCACAGGTAAATCACACTTTAAATCCTTCAGATAAATTTCTATACATTATCTTCAGATAATTTACTCTTTTCCTCTCCTCTAACTCCATGGTTTTATTTACCACCACCCCCTACAAATTCTGAGTAAATTTGTAGGCTTTATAAAATAGAATTTAGCTGAAAGCCTGCCAGCAGTCTCTGTAATCAAATCTAGGGATTTGACTTTGTCGATCAGCTGAAGAGTCTTGTATGAGCTCACCCAAATTCATACGGAAACCCACAGAGAAGTGGGGGTGGGGTGGGGTGGAGATGAGGGGTTGGCATCTCAGCTTGTTGATTCCTGTTTCTTGTGGAAAATCAGTTTTAAAATACAGGCAACCCCTAGTTATGAACAAGATCCATTCCTAAGTGTCTTTAGGGCAAATTTGTAGATAAGTCAGAACAGGTGCATATGGTTCTTATTTAGCCTTACTTTAGTGCAAGAAATCTCTGGTGGTGTAGTGTATAAGGCGTTTGGCTGTTAACCAGATGGTTAGTTGTTCAAACCCACCAGCTGCTCCATGGAAGGGAGATGGGGCAATCTACTTCTGTAAGATTTACAGCCTTGGAAACCCAAGGGGGGTCACAATGAGTCAGAATTGACTCGATGGCAGTGAGTTTGTTTTTTTTAGTGCAAACCTTTTCAATGATTTAAAAGCTACACATGCAGCAAGTGAAGGCGATTGTGATGAAGAATTTGTTTCGAGGAGAGGTTGGTTCAGTCTTACAAAGTGAGGGTACATTTATATAACATTAAAGGGCGAGTATGAATTGTCACTAAAAGCTGTGGTGGTGTAGTGGTTAAGGCATTTGGCTGTGTTTCGAACCTCCCAGCTGCTCCACAGACTGCTCCACAGTCTGCTGCCGTGAAGATTGATACCTTGGAAATCCAATCGGGGGTCACTATGACTCACAAGCAATTCAATGACAGTTGGGTATGAGTTGTAAGTAGTCAGATGTTCATAACCTGAGGACTTTCTGTACCCAGAATGAAACTGTAGGCAATATGGAAACCTACATTATCAGCTCTAAATAATACAGCAGGACATTTAATCAACACTCATTCAATCAGGCTTTCACTTTATGTCATTTTTAGAGTCTAGAAAAATTACTTGGCTTAGTTTGTATATGAATTAGAATTATAATAGGTTGTATTAGTTTCAATTACCATAGATATCTAATAATAATGATGACGTCTGTTAAGTGACCATGTATTGTCTACCAGGTATGCAGTAATGAGGTATAGATGCTTTTTCCCACCATTTTACGAATAAGGAAATAACTTACCTGAGGGTTACATGGTTAGCAAGCATCAGAAGGAGGAATTGACTCCACAGCAGTGAGTTTGGTTTGGTTTTTTTTTTTTTGCTCTGACTCCAGAACCCAAGCTCTTAACTACTGCTAGTATTATTAGTACTTTTCCTTTGTAGGATCAAGACCTCTTCAGCACTTACTTGTCCTCATGACCTGTAGTTGGTTGCTCTGGCAGAGCTGGAGTAGTTTCAGCTCTCTAGCTGGCCTTCATTAATAAGACCCTGCTTACCCCCAGGCCATTCCTCAGAACAGTGCTTGCGATGGTCTGAAATTGTCACAAGGAATTGAGTTTCACCTGGGATTTCAAAGACGCCTCTTTCTAGACACTGGACAGAGAGTGTCTTGCCTGCACCACTGTAGATACATTGATGTTTCTGGTGAATGCAAATCTTTATTTCCTTTGTTTTGGCCCCAGAACTTGGTTTGCTGAAAGAAGGTGCTCCAGATACAGGTTTCTTACATATGAACTCTTCTCTTTTTCTTCTGTGGATAGATCACTGTCTGTTCATTCTTATTGTAAGAAGCACCTATCAAATTGGAGGCGGCAAAGTAAGTGCCTCTCTCTCCCTGTCAGCAACCAAGGACCTTTCTAACCCTGAAATTCTGTAGTTGGGAGCACCACGAACTTCATCCTATAGGAAACAAATGAGTACTCTTTGTTTAAACCATTTTATGGTTCGTAGGTTGGTGAATGATGAGGGAGAATTTTTCCTTGGAAGAGACTTTTCAAGAGAGTTCTCAAAAGGAAATAATTACTTACTGAAGAAAGGAATAGTTAAGGTGGAAACTTGAAAAATACATCTTTTAGTAAAAATCAGAAGTTATAGATGATGTTGGAGACCAAATATAAGGTCTATTAATGGCCATCATTGTGTAGATATCTTGAGTCATAGATTATCAATAAGATCTTGAGACATCACAACTTTTGATATTTTGCTGTAGCTTAGTCACCCATTTAAAGTAATAATTCCATTCATTCATTCAATAGAATTTTATTGAGGACCTGCTATGTGCCTGACTCTATGGTAGATGCTGAGAATACAAAATCAAAGGATGTAATCCTGGCCTGCAAGGAACCCACAGTGTATTGGGAGAAATAGACAAGATTAGTGGATGGTAATAGTACAGACAGATGAATGTTTACATCATTTTAAGGAAGCTCACTGGATCAGCTTCTCAAACACATGGGGGAAAAGGTGAGGAGAAGGTTTTGAAGTCTTCTTGGTAGAAAAGATGCTTGCACTAAATTTTAAAAACCATTAGGAATTATTAGGTAAGGACAGGATGTTGATGGTAAAAAGAATATTGTTGTTGTTGTTGTTATGTGCCCTCGAGTTGGGCCTGACTCACAGTGACCTCTCTTTGGGTTTCCGAGGCAGTATCACTACGGAAGTAGATTGCCTAGCCTTCCTTCCGAGAAGTGGCTGGTGGATTTGAACCACCAGCCTTCTGGTTAGCAGTCAAGTGCCTTAGGCACTAAGCTACAGAGCTCCTGGTAAAAGGAATGTTGTTGTTGTTGTTGTTTGCCGTCGAGTCGGCCCCGACTCATAGCGACCCCTCCTTGGCTTTCCGAGGCAGTATCACTACGGAAGTAGGATTGCCCAACCTTCCTTCCGAGGAGTGGCTGGTGGGTTTGAACCTCCAGCCTTCTGGTTAGCAGTCAAGTGCCTTAGGCACTATGCTACCAGAGCTCCCGGTAAAAGGAATAGCATGTGCAAAAAGCTCAGAGTCATGAAGCCAGAAAAATACAGAGAAATCTTCTATGGTACCTCCCAACTCAGTTTAAACATCACTCCCTCTAGGAAGATTTAATGTGGAGCAGAGAGAGTAATGTGATGAGAATTAAGGCCAGACAGGTAACTGGAGACCAAATAATGAGCTATATTATATGCTCAGCTAAAGTGTTTGAAAATGTCTAAGCAGAGAGTAAACAGAATCAGATTTATGTTATTAAAACTTCTCTCAAAGGAGGAAAAATCAGAAAGAGTTCAGGCTAGAGTGAGAAAAACCAATGAGGAGGCAGTGGAGACAACCAGCTGAAACGTGACAAGGCGCTGAGGAAATGGCAGCACTGTGGGCAGGAGCATGAGTCCAAGGACACAGAGATAGAATTGATCAAACGGTGTGACCAGCTGCAGTTCGGGGTGGGCGAGACGGAGGAGCCAGGATGGGTCTAGGCTTCTAATGTGTGCACCTCGCTAGATGATATCATAAAGTATATCAAAAGATCTAATGTGGATGTATTGTCAAAGTGCTAAAAATATAAAGTGCCTAGAATGGTTAATTGGGAAAAGCTTTTTCTGAGGGATCAACTTTGAACTGGGACTCACAGAGGTTGATGGACATTTGTGAATAATTTCCTGGATATACTTTTTAGATCTTATCCTTAGAGAATACTTCTTTTCAAAGAGTTCCAGATACAGTAAGTCCCCGGGTTATGAACATTCGATTTGCAGACACCTATACTTGCCCTTTTTAATGTTATGTAAATTTGCATTCACTTTGAAACAATTGAACCAACCCCAATTTGCAGCAAATTCTTCATCATGTCACTTTCACTTGTAGCATGTGCAGCTTTTAAATCACTGAAAATCGTTTAAGCATTTTCTTGCACCAAAGTAAGGGTAAATAAGAACTGTATGCACCTGTTCTAACTTACCTACAAATTGGACTTAAAGACACACTTAGGAACAAATCTTGTTCATAACATGGGGACTGGCTATATTTCATAAATGTCATGTCATTTAGCCTCTTGGCATTTCTGTGAGATACATATGGCACATTACTATTGCTGATTAGGAAACAGGTAGCAAGAGCAAGTGTGTGACCAGCCTAGAGTTAAGCCAGGACAGAACTGAGGCTGGAAATTCTTTTATCAGTGCCTTTGGTTGTATTAAAGAGGAGCTCTGGTAGCACAGTGCCTGAGGCATCTGACTGCTAACCAGAAGGTTGGTGGTTCAAACCCACCAGCCACTCTGCAGAAGCAAGACTGGGCATCTACTTCCATAAAGATTTGCCGCCTCGGAAACCCAATGGAGGTCACTATGAGTTGGAATTGACTTGACAGCAGTGGGTTTTTTGGGGTTTGTATTAAAATTGTGCTAGTTCTCATACCTGATCCAAGATATTTAAGCCTATAAATGTGCATAAAATAGTCTTAGAATAAATTACTGCCTAGTTCTTAACTACCCAGTTATATATCCCCTATGCCTTAACATTATGAAATATTTTCTCAGAAATATTCTTTGACTTGAACTTCTACTTCCCAACATGAAAACTTCGTTACCTTGGCCTTTAAAGGTAGAATCCTCAATCCCATCCCCCAAAAAAGACTTACTCAAAATCCCAATTAACTGAGTTCTCATAAACCAGTTTTCAAGGAAAAGGGCATATCTTTGTGTCCATCCCCCTCTCCATAACTAGAATAAGCTTTACAAAAGGAAAATGGAGCTTTGGAAGTCCTCTCCACACCTAAGAGGTTGCATATCTGAGGCATTTGCTTGACTCTTTGACTTTTTCTTTTACAAGTAAAATGAAAGTTGTGTTTTAATGGCACCCATTGAGAATAATGTAGGACAGTAACTTTATCATGAAAATAGTAACCACATTTTTCCTATGCATTTGAGAAGGGCCGCCAGCTAACTACTCCCTAAAATTGGTATGTCATTTCTGGA